GGTGTTGGTTCGGAGCGATCTTGGCTTTTTTTCACGTTTCCGCATGCGTTTTTTTGGTATCCGTGTGTGCCCTAATTTGTTTGTTTTTCTTTGTTCTTTCCCCCGCCACTGTTGCTGTTTCCTGATACGCTGCTCGGCTTCGGTACTCACCACTGATGACTGGTCTTTGCCTGCAACCAGATGCTAGATCTTGTGCTCCTGTGCTCACGTACGGCTACGTAGGAGAATGTGAGCTGGATTGCTGGATTGTGTTCACGCACTTTTCTGCGTGCAAAAAGACCAAGTACCGTCCTTAGCAGCTGGGCCACTATATTATACTAGTAGAGTGCCCGTTCGTTGCCACGGGCTCTTAAAATATTTTATCAAAGTTGCATGTTAAATTTCACACATACAAACAATATAACACAAACACAATTATTTAATAACTGAAGTTCATTATTGCAATGTAATTGGATAACATAAAAGAAAAATTAACGACATGTCCATGTAACAAACTGAGTGATGTTCCAACTGAACATCTATTACAAAACTATTAATATCTAGATGATGCGCTTAAGAAATTCTTTCACAATATCAGAAAAGTTTCCTCTAGCTTCATTTCCACGATGTTTTAGCAAGTATAATAAAAAATGCTTCCTCAATTCATACCCATCCTGCAGAAACAACACATGTAGTTAGTATGACAATTTCACGTCGAAGGTCTTAAAACATGTAACGCACAATACTCACCGCGCAAACCTACTTCACCGGTTCTTTACCGTTCCACCAGAGCATAAAATGAAAAATAAAATAGCCAGACACATTTCTGCAAAAATTTAAATTAATAATATAAAAAATATAATGATAACAAAAGTAAATATTCTTGTTATGAATTCATTACCCGTCTACACTCGATGGAACACCGAACGAAAATAAACGTTGCCATTTAGATATATCATAATTCCAACCAGGCATCTTTATTTCGAGTGCTTCTTTGAAATCCCTTGCAAAACTTTTTAATTTCAGTGAATGCCTCAAATTTTTTTCCTCTGACGATTGTGATGTTTGAATAGGATCCATAATATATAGACGACGTGCCTCTTTGTCGATGACGTACAAGATGTATCGGCCGATGGATGCATAGGGAAGATAAATCTACAAGTGGAGCTATTAGAAACAACAACAAACCATGATAACAATGGACAAAATATTTTATTTACCTTATTGCAAGATGAGATGTCGTTCTCCATCCCATGTCAGCTATCAAATAATGTTGCCAACGTCTGGATAGTTTCCTTCTCACAAAACTTCTGACCTCGTGTTGACTCTAGCATCATGGACTACATAAAAGAAGAAATATTGTTTCAACATGTTGATACTAATGGCATATAGAATCAAGAGTTACGATAACTTACACAAAATCATAGATCCATGTAGTGTATAGGAGGGTCTGTGAACAATACTCCCTCGTCACATGCCAGCATACGCACGACGGTGTTGAAGAAATCATTGTCCATAGGCTGCTCCATCTTAAGTATGCACTGAAGTTTCTTAAGACTTAAGCTCCAAGTACCGTCCTTAGCAGCTGGGCCACTATATTATACTCCCTCCGACCCAAAATTCTTGTCTTAAATTTGTCTAGATACGAATATACCTAATATTAAAACGTGACTTGATACATCTGGACAAATCTAAGACAAGAATTTTGGGATGGAGGGAGTATGTACATTTGTTCCTTTCAGAAGGAGAAAAAGGTAATACTACATTTCAATATGAAGGCTCTTCAGAATTACCAAAAAAAGGAGAGTTTTGAGAGAGGAGAACGGCAAGTGCAGCTGTGTTATTCATCTTGCGTTAGTGCAGTCGTGCAATACGGAGGCTCTTCAGCATTTCAATATGACATATTGACATTTTTCCAAAAGAAAAAAAAATGAAAGCAAGATCCCATTACATTGATCAATTCCTTGTAACTGCAGTACGAACCATCACCAAGACAACGTGAACCACCACCAAGACAACACCCAAAGTCCAAATTCTCTAAAAGCAACGCCTCCAAGAAGAAAACAGTGTACAAGCGCTGTCGTTGTCCGATTATAGATCTTGGGTTTCCACCTGAAGAAAATCCGCGCTCTTCAAATAATGCCTTCAACAAGGCCACTGCTAGACACAACCAATTCAGGATGATGTATTGACATGACACTTGTTGTGTTGGTACTTTGAGGGCGCACACTCATGCCTCTGGAATGAGTTGGTCGTGGAATTGAATGCGGATGGGTGGGGGTTGCACGTTCTCATAATCCATTCACTTTGAAGACCGATTGTGCACAATTAACCGAAGAACATCCTTAAATTTTAAACGAGCATCTCAATTTTGAATTTGCATGAGGCTCGACATAAGGAACCATGTCTTGGCAAAATAAGAGAAATAAATCTGTCTACTGGGTTTCATTTATTAGAACAAAGATTTTTTTTGGAAAAGGAGGATAACCCTGGGTCTCTATATCAGAGTGATGCATGCAGCCAAATTAGAAACAGAGAATGCTTGTCTGGATCTGATAGAGATAGAATTAGGACCCGCTTACCTAGCTAACGGTAGCAGAGAGGGGGTGGCATTTGCGAACGATTTTGGTCGCATTTTTAGTTTGAGGGGATGACAGTTTCTTCATAGCGACATGACAGTTTCTGGCAGAGAAGGCAATTTTTCGTTTTTAAACTGCCATCGTTTGACTGCCATCAAAAGGGATTCGCTTGCTACCACTCTCCCAATCAGTTAACTTTTCCGTAAAATTAAAGAACTAAGTATAACACGCGAGATACTGGTGCTATAGTGCTTAGGGTGTTGTTGGGCTCCCAAACTATGGCGTCATAGAAAAACATCATGAAAAATCATAGAAAATCGAGTGGATTTGACACTACTCACCACTGGATTTGTCTCCTTCTGTTTTCTCATCGCATTTGTTTGGAGTTTAAATTTTGCGTTGTCATACATATATCTTGCATCAATCTGCTATATTACCGCAATACAACACAACTGCCAAACTCTCTAGGTGTAACTTCACCAAACCTAATGCCACCGTTGTTTCACCTTTGTTTTCTCTCAGTAGAGAAATGTTAAAACCACAAACTACATGTCCATGTTTCACTGTACCTTTCCCCCTATTTTTCATGTTTTATACAACTGAAGGATGTTTTACATCACTCGGACTATGCAATACAAATAATAAAAAATTTATCTAGCTGAAGTCCGAGGTGTCAAAGTCAAAATTGTCTACCAAATAGCTAAACAGACCATGTCGTGACAAGAAAACTTGTTGCCGCCAACACGACAATATGCTACTCTTACAGTCGACACAAACACAACCATGAAAGCAATACTAGAGCTGATGAAAAACTACTCTAAAAACCAATGACACCTCCATGAAGAAGATGATACATGTGACAATGACATACAAAATATTTTACCCCAGGTAAATCACCATTTTCTCATTATGGATCAACAATCCTGTCATCCATCCTTAAAAAGGGAGTACACACTAGGAATAGTGGATGCCATGAGTTCCATGTTAGTCTATTGTTGATTTCTTGGCCCATGAGACCTATTGTCTTATTGTACCTGCTCACTTCACCACCACTTCCCTAGTTGTTCGCAACTCCAGGAAAGCTATTATGCGCTTACCATTAAGATGTGTAGCTCTTCATAAACACATTTTCTCTTTATATCAAACTA